CAAGATTGGAGAAATAATTGCCTATTGGGGCTTGCTTTCAAGAAATCTTAATTTTTTTACTTGTCTTTTTTTTGTTTAATTTATTTTAAAGATAGTATAATAACTGATGTAACATTAGGAACAATACCCATTTAGAAGACCTAAATGAGAGGCAGTCAACCATGGGCTTTGTATTGCACATTGGTGTCCTCTATGTCATTGCTCAGATCACAGATATCAGCATACAGAGCTAGTCAAAGTGAAAATTCTGAACATTGACTGCTATTAAAAAAAAAAAAAAAGCTAATGGAAATTCTCAGTACAATCATCTCAGCCATTCAGCTCAGCTATTTTTTGAAAGTAGCAGTTAATGTTTAGAATTTCACTTTGACTAGCTCTGTATCATTCTTTAAAAAGATGTAAGCCTATTTTAAAAATTGCTCTTAAATTTGTCATTTGACTTTTTCTAAGGAAGGAGAAGAGATTGTGATAACTACCACAAGTTATGATATACACCAGACAGAAACTAGAAGTATTGTTAAAGTCCTGCATGGTCGCAGAATCCTCATTCTCAATGATAGCCTTTCCTACAGTCACTTTGGTAAGTGTCTTCTCCTTAACTAAAGGGACACAGAATGGAAATGTCTGGAAATGTTCGCATTTCAGTGCTCCATCACGTAATCATAGCTCTTAGACAAAACATGAATATTTTAGCAGAGCATTTCAACCAGATTGACTTTGATAGCCAGAGGCACTAGCTGTGTTTATGTTGGCCACCAGCAGCCCCTGCAGAAGGTGCTCGTTTGTTTGTTCAGCAGATGCTCCACAAACATCTGTGGTACACTCCAGAGCTCAGGGCCTGGCACTTCATCTCCTAAGCAGGCTTCTGGATGACTGTTACATGCAATGACATTTTAAAACCTTTCATCCAAAATCAAAGGTGGTTCTAATTTAGTTCATGGACAGTTCTTTAGCTGTTATGACCAATAAAGAAGTTTGTTTGTTTTTTTACTTAGAAGAGTAAACTCTACCATGCTCCTGCCCTTTATATCTCTGGAAATGAGAGCAGACAGAACAATAAAGTTAGCAACACCTTTAGAAGCTTCACAAAACTATTGATATGTATCTGGGATGCAGCAGGATAAACTGAGGCTCATCTGAGCCATAAAAAGAAATTTATAGGAACTGTTTCAGACACAGCTTTGATATAAGCACTTGTATCTATTATACTCTATGATATATTTTAAATAAATAGGTTTAAGAATTTGTGATTACATTATAATTATGAAATGGTTTATTTAATTATGAAGCAACTTGTTTTTAAAAACTGACAATAATTTCTCTTATTTAAGGTAGAAAACATTCCTTCCTGTTTGAAATGAATTTGTTTGCCTTAAGGGTTCAAATAAGATTTCTAGAGCTTGAGAGTATAATTTATGATACGTTTTATAAATCGTTAAGACATAAATGAGGAGACATGCTCAGCAGGAGAGATATAGAAAGAGCAGAAATAAGAAGGGGCAGAGATTATTTCAGAGGGGAAGAGGATAGAGATCAAGAACTGCCCACCCAGAGATCAGCAGAAGAGGGGGTGCTTGACCAGTGTGCTGCCCATACCCACCCTCCTACAGTTAAAGGTGACTGATCGTAAGACAGAGACTGAAACCTCCCACTAATCATGCCCACAGGAGCACAGCTGAACCCTAAGAGAGGTGTGATAACAAAGGGAACAAGGCAGGCTCTGTGATCCGCACAGACCCCTAAATCCTGCTACTCACTGGTGGGCAAGAGAACAAGCGCAGGAGCCAAACCAGCTCAAGCACCAGTGTTAACCATAACCACGGAAGCCTGGAGCTCAGCCCAGAAAAACTTGCAAAACATAGTCTATTTCTTAATTAAAAGGGATGAGCACTCTGGTCAAATTCAGACTGAAGTATAAATAGGACTGAGATGAGTCTTTACGTGTGTGTGTGTGTGTGTGTGTGTGTGTGTGTGTTGTCTCTCCTTTTGGTTTATATATGTGAAATAGAAAACAACAATTAATTTGTGGTATAACTTAGATATTACATGTCAGGTTAAACCTCACTAAAAATTATATATGAGAAATTTAAACACAAGGGTTCTTCAGCATGTTAATAGGTTCAGACATTCTTATACCTTTCTCTAATTATACTCTTTACTGACTTCTTTCTTTTCTTTGTTCCTGAAAATAACCTCTCAAATCATCACTACCTCTACTCTACATTCTAGACATAGAAATAATGTTACAAAGGCCTATCTCTTTTTCTTTCATTTGCTTTCATATTTTTATCCTCCCCTTCTCTCTGTACTATTTTCTCCCTCCTTTTTCCTTCCCTCATCCTTTATGCACCAGCCTACTTATCATAACTGTCTTTCTCTGTTATTGCAAACAGGTTGAAACTGCTAAATTCTTAAGTATATGAATGACATAATTTACTAGCTCTGTGGATCCTGATATAAAGGGTAATAGTGCATTTCTCCTTACAGCAGAGTGAATGGGACTAATCCAACTGGATTGATAAGTTGAATAGAAGCGCATCCATCAAAGCCAAAGTCACATCACAGGGCAATATCACTAACTAAAAAACTTTCCACAATATCAGTAGTTTTACAATCCCATTAGTCTTTAAGCACAAAAACAATGAAAAACATGAGAAAGCAAAGCAATAAAATGCCTCCGAAAATTCTTAATTTCTCCCAAAGCTGATCTCACAAAGTGCAGGAACTAACACACAAAAGAACTCAAAACACCAAATGGATAAAATGTTAACCATTTTAAATGTAAAAAATCAAAAGAGAAACTAATAAACATTTATATGATCTTTAGCACACTAAAGAAAATGTAAACAGATAAGAGGGCTAACTAACAAAATGTTTAATACACTTACAGAAGAGAGATGCCAAAGCTCAAATTGAATTAAAGAAGACAATAAAATAATTAGAGATTATGCAAACAAGCAAAAATCCTAGATATGAAAAATTCAGTGGAGAGTATGGGCTTTCTGATTATGCTTGGTCTCTCTGACAAGTCTGAGTGAAGACTGATAGAACATAATGACAAGGTAGATATAATAGATCATGCACTCAATGATATCCTAAAAACAAAATTAGATATTATGAAAACCAGATTAACAGTGGATAGATGACAAAAAAGAAAGGTTAGAAATGACACCAAATATATAAAAATGTATTCCCCAAAATTATAGCAGACAATTTTCCACATTTAGGGAAACAATTCAATATCAAAGAAAAAAAGCTTATAGAATCCAAATGCAATGACCAGGAAGGAACCTTTCCGTGCAATAGCATAGTCAAAACCTAGCAGTTAGCACAAAAAATAATACCAAAAGCTATTACAAAAAAGCATCAAATAATAAAGCCAAGTCCATCAGAATATTCAACATAAATATTAAAGACCAAGAGAGCTTTGAGAGAAATTTTTCAAGAAAAAATAAGACTATTGCCAAACTAGATCTTGTATTAGGATTACTGGGTTACTGTATCCTGCAATATTATCCTTCAAAATTGATGGAGACCTAATCAGTAATAGAATTCAGTACATAGATACCTTTGAATAGTAACACACAATGAAAATAGTCTTAACTCTACTATATAAAGACACCAGCTGACATTTTGGATCAAAGCCACACCTCATACACAAAGAAAGACATACAGTGAAAGTGAAAGTATGGGAAATAATCTTTCATGCAACCAGCACCTAAAAACAAGTAAAAGTAACTATCTTACTTTTACACAAAGAGGTCTTCAAGCCAAAACTGAACAGAAGAAAAAAAAAAGGTCACAATACACTGATAAAGGTGAAACTAAATAGTAAGGGATAACAATTTTAAATATTTAGACACCAAATGTTGGTGGAACTAATTTCATAAAATAAAAATTACTGATGTAAAAGGACAGATGATGTAATGGTTGACATAGTTTCACCTTGAGAAGCCTAGGCGCTTAGTCATGTGACTCAGTGGAGGCCAGGGTCCTCACTTTGTGAACATTCTGAGCCTGTGCAAGTGGAAGGAAGGGAGATGATATGAGTGCTACACCTACCGGAGGGTGGATAGTCTCCATACAATATAAGGGAGGATAAGAGGCTTGTTCTCCCTCCCTTTTTGCTCTTGTTGCTTTTTCTGACTTCTACCACCTTGAACTGTTGCCCTTGTGCTATGCCACCATGACGTGGAGCCAACCAACTGTGGACTGAAATCTCTACAAACTGTGAGCTAAATAAACCAATGGTGAAAGTGTTAGAACTCTGGCAACTCTTAGAGATGGACTAAATGGCTTTTGTATAAAGGGATGTACATGAGTCTTTGTAAGGTCAGGGATAGAATGTTATGTTTTGTGTTTCGATGTCTCCCAAAGCTTCATGTGGTCATAGGGATGGTTTTTAGAGGTGGCTGAATCTAGATTATGTGGTTGGTTCATGGTCTAGTACTGGGATTGATGGTGTGAATGCTATACCTGCCCTAGGGTGGAGAGCTTGTTTACAATATAAAGGAAAAAATGAGGCTTGCATTCCCCTTTTGGCTCTTCTTGCTTTTTCTGTCTTCCACCACCCTGAACTATTGCTCCTGTGCCATACAACCTTGCCCTGGAGCCAACTGTTTATGAACTGAAAGTTGCATAAGTTGTGAGCTAGAAAAATCTTTCCTCCCATTATCTTAGGGTTGGGTATTTTGTCTTAACAATGAGAAAATTAACCAAGACAGATAGATACCAATATACTCATAGTGGGGCTGTCAGTGCTCCCCTTTCACAAATAAGAAGGTCAATGAGACAAAGATCAACCAAGAAATATCATAGTTGAACCACATCACTGAACAAATGAACTTTATTGATATCTGCAGAATGTTTCATCTAACCACAACAAAATGTACAATTTTTAGCACATGGAACTTCCTTAAAAGGAGGCCATAAGATATGCTTAAGTAGATACAAAAGAATCAAAATCAATCTCTTGAACATTGGGTTATGGCTGAATGAAACTAAAAAAATTAATACCAACAGAAATCACAAAACTATACCAACACATGGACATTAAGTAATACACTTTTGAATAATCAGTGGGTCATGGAGGAAAAAGGGAAAAATTAGAAGATTCTAGAATCAAATGATTATGCCAGAATAACCTATCCAAATCTTTGGGGTACAGTGAAAGGTTTCTAAATGGAAATTTATCATTGAATGCCCACTTCCAGAACAGAGCCACAATTGCAAAAAAGTAATATGAGAATCAACAAATTGGATTATATAAAATTAAAAAGTTTCTGCACAGCAAAGGAAAGAACAGAATGAATGGACAGCCTACAGAATGGGAAAATGATTTTGCTAACTACTCCTCAGACAAAAGACTGCTATCTATAATATATGAGAAGTCTAAAAATTTAAGACCCAAAACAAAAGAGCCAATCAAAAAACATGGGCAATTGTAAAGAATAGACACTTCTCAAAGAAAAATTACAAATGGTGAATAAGCACATAGAATAAGGTTCAGCATCTTTGACTATTAGAGAAATGCAAATCAAGACCACACTGAGATGCCAATGAAAATGGCTGTTATCAAGGACTTAAAAAACAACAAGTGCTGACAACATTGTGAGGAAAAAAGAACCTTCTCATAATGTTGGAGAGACTATAAACCAATAAACTTACTAGAGTAATCAGTATGGAGATTCCTCAAAAACTAAAAATAGAAATTTCAGTTGACCCAGGTATATCTTTCAGATGAGTATCCATCTGAAAGAATTAAAGTTATCATAATATAGAGATAAATATAGTCTTGGGTACAGTAGCACAATTCATTGTAGCTAAATTGTGGAAGCAGCTTTTAAGCCCCTTAGCAGATGAACAGGTAAAGACTATACGATGGAGTACCACTCAGCCATAGAGAAAGATAAATTTGAAACATGAAAGCTTAAGTGTTGCACAATTTCTCTGAGACCCAAAATGTAAGTAAATTAAAGAGCAAGATAAAATATACACTGTAGGCGACAAGGAAATAGACTGTGGCGATGAGAGATGAGCCTAGGGAGGCAGTGAGAGGGGAGGTTAGTGGAAAAAGTAGAAGTAAAAGTAATCAAGAGGCAATATGTACATGTACCAATTTGTAAGGATAAATTTAATTGTTATGTACCACAACATTATTCCAACAATAAAAAGATGTAAATGTACAGATTGTATTTGACATACTAGTATGTATTAATAAGGAATTGTGTTTGAACAGGGGAAAAAATAATGGGTAAGTATCTGGAGAAATTCTGTGTTGCTGTTCACTTTGTGGCCTTGGAGAAGTTTTTGTTTTGATTCTCTACTTCATGTCTTCATCTGCTAAAAGTATAATAAGCTTCTCAATTTGTCGCATAACAATGTTTGTATATAATTTGTAGTGACTGTGAACTCCCTTCAAGATCTGCCAAACAGTAGCCCAATTATTGATGATTGCAATCAGCTCTTCAGTTTAAACAGAACAAATGTATCTGTTGGTTGTGTTTTAGTTTCTAAGTAAGAGCATGTTAATTTAAGTTCTATTAGCTACATAGGTTTAATCATGTAAATTTAATCAGTTTATGAACTAGTGGATTTTTTGCAAAACATTATCCATCATATAAAATGTCAGGAAAATGATAAAGACATTTATTTCTCAGCATTGGCAGTGACCTATCTTTCCTCCTATTTCAGCCAAAAGATACTATGTCCCTGAAACAGATCAGAGCTACACTTTAGCTGCCGATGTTGGATTACTAAGTAGGAACATCAAAATAGTTGGTGAAGATTACCCTGGTTGGTCCAGGGACTCTTTTGGAGCACGCATTCTTGTTGGTTCATTCACTGGAAATATGATAACCTTTAGAGGTTGGTATAAGTGTGATCTATTTTTCTAAATTATACATGACATTGTCTTTTCCATTATTAGTTTTTAAACAGTTTTTCCTTCATCATAGGATTATTTGGAAAAATAAAGCATTAGGAGTGTTCCTGTAATTTATGTATTACCCTTCAAGTTAATCCTCTAAAATTATTGGCTGTTTATGCTGTTTTCATAAACAATAAAAATTTCAAACTAATGGTGCTCTTTGGTAACTGTAGTCAACCCCTTACCAAAACACAAGTCAATTTATGACATATGCAACTCATCACTTGTTGTTTTGCTGCTGTTCATTTGTTTTAAGCAAAATGTCAGACATGTACCAAGAACACAGAAAGCAAAAGTCCACCATACCCAGCAATACCAGCTTTGACCAATCTCATTTTATCTATGCCTCCTCCACTCTGTTCAAGCTCCTGGCTTCTGTTGACATGATCATATACTGCTTCATACTTAAATATTTCAGTTACAAATCTAAAAATGTTCATAATTATTCTTTATTCCATTTTGGAACACTTTTAACATTAGAAAACCTATCTACTGCCCAGAAGACTGTACCAGTGTAGCTTCTACTTTTTGGTCATAATCAACCAACAGAAGCTTCGCTTAGGCTAATGAGGATGATGGTTGTAATAATCATCATGATACAAAATCACAGGCTCTGTGCTGAGCATTAAATGCATATTATCTCATTTAATCCTCATAATGCTATGTCACCAACATTATCCTTTTTTTTAACGATGAAAAAATTCATGCTTATCTTGCTTTTATCTTAGTTACTAAGCGGTATCTAACACTTCCAACACATAATGGCACAAGGTAAATATTTGTGATGGACTCTATTCCCAAGACAATCTTTTTTGCTGCTGTAAATTGGAAATAAAGAAAATGCATCTATGGTTGCTGTTATGCCAATTGTTCTATTCTAATAATTTCTGTTCTGTCTTTGTTTGATTATTCTGATGTTTTCCACCAGGTATTCAATTACTGGCTCAGGAATTTCAAACCCGACTTTTCTAACACAGAGTGACTCCTCCAGTGCAGCCTATCAATGCCAGTTTTTTCAGATAAAGCATATTGTCTCTTTCTTTTTCAGCCATGAATTTCTGGACCCAAGTTTCTTTTCCTAGAAGTTAACAATAATAAAAGCCCCTAGCATATAAGATAGTTTACAGAATTGAATTCCATATTGCCTTTTAATTAATTTAGCATGGCCATTTGGTACAGAGTAGCTGCTCATGGATTATTGTTGTTTTTATCACTAAGCTATAAAATTATCTCATGTCATTTCAACTGTACTGTGACAAACTGGCCAGCAGAGAATTGGCAATACATATTCTGAAAGATTCTGAAGGACAAAGCCTTAAAGGCTCTTTATGGCAGCAAAACTGAAATCTCACATAACCTTTGTTTCATGTCTTACAAATATACTTTCGGCAGGACCATGTCATCCTCACAGGAGTGAGAGAAATTTGGCCCTTAGGAACAAACAAACCTAGCTTTTGCAATGGCTTGTAGTTCTTCAAAGGGCCCCTTACGTTACCAAACACATGCTATGTCTACACCATCACAATTATACATTTTGATGGAAGATGGAGTCTATTACAAGAAAATGTTCCTGAAAGATAAAAATGGGGGCTAAAAAAGGTCGAGACACACTGCCTTTCTAAGAAACAAAGAAAAACTAATGTAGTTCCCAAGAAAAATGTGAACAGCTTTATGTAGCTTTCAAAAATGTTTTATTGTATTCATCTTAGGAACTTTTGCTCCTGTGTTTCCTTTGCCCAGGAAATGCAAGAATAAGCAATGTTGAATTTTATCACAGTGGTCAAGAAGGCTTCCGGGATAGCACAGATCCAAGACATGCGGTAACATTCCTTAACCTAGGACAGGTGAGTGTTTGAATTTTTACATCTATTGAAGACAAAATGGTTTTATTTTCATTGAGCTAAGAACTAAGTAGCCACATCTTCACATAAGTGAATTTACAATCTAGTATTCTAAAAACTTTCTTGACATTTTTAGACACATAAGAATATGTGACTTATTCATTTCATGCATTTATTCAAGGTGATTAAAAACTGTAGGAACAGTAAAGCTAACATGTGAAAATTGTTTCCCAAAATAGTTCATTCTATGATAAGCAAGGATTTTTTTTTTTTTTTAACAAAAGATGATAGTGTAGGCCAGGTCACTGTTCAAATGTTAGAGGTTTTAACTTTCAGCCTACAAAATTATGTTTTTACTTCTAGTGAGAAACGTTTTATATGAAATTTTCTTAAATCCTCAGTCTTCTCAGAATATTTATTTTCCCTCTTTTGGTGGTTACATAAAGATATTACCACACTTGTCATTTGAGAAACATAAGTAAAATTCACTTTAATAGAAACTGTTATTCTTTGCCACTGCAACCTAGAGGGGAGATATGAACCACTATTATGGATCTTCACTTTTGCTACTTTGTAAGTAATGATAGAAATATATTTGCATGCAGAGGCACATCGAACTGTCTAAGTGTACATTTACTCAGCATAGATTTTGCTTCATTTAATTACAAGTTCAAGAATATATGAAAAATTGCCATGATTAAAGCCCCATTGGGAAACCATCTCCTTCAAGAGAAAGCAAAAAGTAAAGTGAGACTTGATCAAGGTTTATGTTCCAAACAACGTCGCTGAGCCTTGTGTTTTGCAGACGCAGGAGCGGGGCTCATCCTATGTTCGAGGCTGTTCCTTCCACCACGGCTTCTCTCCAGCGATCGGTGTGTTCGGCACAGATGGCTTGGACATAGATGACAACGTCGTTCACTTCACAGTGGGAGAAGGTAGCATCCTAATGGTCTGCTTCAAGCAACACAGCTTTCGGTGGCAACATCATCTGTCAAACCATGCTGTCCAATTAATCTTTTGTGAGGACAGAAATGGTCTGTATCTGTGGCAATCACCAAGTCACATGTGGCTAATGAGCACTGGAATGGTGACTAGGATAACTGAGGAACTGAATTTTTAATTTTAATTGAACTTAATTTAATTGTGCTTAATTTGCATTTAGATGGCCACATGTGCCTATCCCCACCCGATTGGACAGTGCAGTCTCGTAACGTAGAGAACTGTTACCAGACTGTGACCTACAAGACCATTGTCTAGTCTCCAAGCATTTAAATTACTATGATTTTCAAAAAATTCCTCACATATCAATCACAAAGATTATTCCTTCCACAAGTTATTTTATTTAAGAAATTATATATAATTTTAAGTCTGTTTCCTGTGGTAGGTAGGTATTTGTTAAAATCTGGTGAACCCACCCATTTAACAAGCACCCCAGAAGACTCTAATTCAAGTTGTCTACTGAGGGAGAAAATAATTAGCAGAGTCGAAAAGACTCTAGTAAATCAAAACAGGAAGCTTGAAGCCCCATGGCTCAGCACACACCATGTTCAAGGCCCCCGCTTCTGTTCTTAACTCTGGTGAAAATCTAAGAAGATTGCTTGTCAAGTTCAAAGTACAAAAATAATTTCATGACCAAAAAAGATACCACTCATAGCATCAATTGAAAATTAATATCTATATTCTGGGAGATCTTTATTCTTTTATTACAGGCATAAGAATATGGGGGGATGCCAACAGAGTCCGGAGAAATTTGGTTGCATTTTCAGTTTGGCCAGGAACCTATCAGAACAGAAAGGATTTAACTTCAACTCTCTGGCACGCAGCCATCGAGGTAGTGAGAACAAAATTATAGCTACACAAATTTATCATGGTCATTTATAATCATAATTTCTGTATAAGTTATAAACCTCAAAATATTGCAGACAATTTTTTCCTTTAGATATTGATAAACTAATGAGACAAACTAATCTAAGAAGCAAATGAACTTTTAAAAATGTGTTACTGACTTTAAGACCAATTGTTTTCTTTCTGTGCATAGCCAATGTTTGCATAGTTCTCTCAGGTCCTTTCATCTGTTACCTAACTTACTGCTTTCAAGTTCTGGTAGGACCCCAGGACTTCCCTGGTGCTGATTGACTGACTATAATATTGATAGTATTAGTCGGGCCCTTCTTACTTCCCATGAAGTTTCTTCAGTTATTTTACATGTTTGCTTAGATGTAGGTTGGGACAACAGACAGGAAAATAGCAAGGACAAAGAAAGTTTGGATAAGTGTTGCCTTCTTGTTTTTCCTTTATTTACTTATACCATAGGAATGAAAAGAAATTAAAGTAACTCTTTATGAAAGATGACATAAGAATTGAGCATGGGGTCTGTACACCATATTACCTTAAGAGAAAATATGAAGGCTAGAACTTAGCATCCATAATGAGGAAGATACTCACTTGTTCTATTTACACAAGGGGTGATTGAAACTTGCAATGAATGTTTAAATTAAAAGAAAGGAGCCAGAGAAATGGCTCAGTAGAATAAGCACTTCCCTGGCAAGTGCAAGGGCCTGAGTTCAATCCCTGGTTCTGCCAAAATAAACAAATTAATTAATTAATTAAATTAAATATCTTA